CTCAATTCCTATTACGCATATATGACATTTAATGGTGTCCTATATTTCACTGAGGCTCTGCTCATTTTTTTTTTTAAATGCTGTTCTTTGGTTAGCAAAATCTCTGCTGATCTTCACGTTCACTAATTCTTTGTTCTGCCAATTTAAATCTACTTTTGAGTCTCTCTAGTGAAATTTAAAATTTTGGTTACGGTAATTTCCTACTGCAGAATTTCCATTTGCTTCCTTTCTAATAATTTCTGCCTTTTTAGTGATATCCTCTACTTGATGTTATGTTGTTATGGTATCTTCATTTACATATTTAATTATGCCTTCTTTTAATATATGTTAATGGCTACTTTGAACTCCGTTAAATCTGGCATATGGTCACTCTCACATATGATTTCTTTTGCCTAATTTTTCTCTCACCTATGGGTCATAATTTATTGTTTGTTTATTTTCATGTCTTGTAACTTTTTTTGGAAACTAGATAGTTTCAATAATACAATGTAGCAGTTCTAGTTACCAATGTTCCCCTGGAGTTTGCAATTACTGTTTACTCACTTGTTTGTGACTTGCTGAATTGTTTTAGTAAAACCTTTTTCCCCCAGTGGTGTAAAGTATGTGATCTTTCTTCTCCAGAGGAATAGTGTTGGATATTTACATAAACACCTGGAAATACAGTGGTTTTGGCAGGACTCTCTTTGATTGTCTCTGTCCCTGACCTCATCCAGCTATTAAGGTTGTTTAATTGCCAGCCAACTGTTCAATTGTTTTCAAAAGTGTCCTAGGTCATAATTTGTTCCACGGTAAGATCCATTCAAATTTGGGCTCTGGTGAAGAAATGATTCCCTAGATAAATGTTTGAGATTTGTTATTTTTCCTAGAAGGCTAATTTCAACTGATTCTATCTGCATTCTCTCTCGCAACTAGCCTGTCTCTCCAGTGAATCTACCAGATCTACCAACACTCTCTCTCTCATTTGTCTGTCATAGCAACCTTTAGTGTTTTGAGTTTACTCTTAGGCTTGAACTTCACATTCCTTTGTATATGAAGGAACTTTCTGCTTCATGGCCTGCTTTTCTCTTTCACTCCCAAGCAAAATATTTGAGCCATGGCTTTGAAACTCTTTTCTTTAGGAGTGAAGTGCTTTGTGGAGAGAAGGAGGCAGTGACCTCAGTCTTTTTGTCTCACCTGCTGTATCCCTTAGGACTTTTTCCATAGACTATAATCATTTTTAAAAAACTTTCACCAGTTTTCTGGAGACTGGGTTTGTAGAGTTCCTCAGGCTATCATGTAATAAGTCTTAAAAAACAACAACAAGAAAATAAACAAACAAAATTGAACCATGTGTTAAAAAGACTTTCTGGAAGAGATGTGATTTATGCTAAATTTTGAAGGATAACTAGAGAAATTTTAACCACCTGGAAATAGCTTTTCAGGGCAGAGTAAACAGTTTAGGTTTTATTTTGTTTAATTTTTCTAAAGAAATAGATACAATATGAAAAGGAAACATCTAGAAATATCTACAACACAACTAAATAAGAAAAAATTAATTTAGTACACTTGCGTAATTGTTAAATAAATGTAAAAAATAGTTGAATTTGTACATCATGATATTATTTACAGCTATAAAAAGTGGGTTCCAAATTTAGTTCCAAGTTTCTCACAGAACTATAAAGAACCACAAACTAAAGAAGAAAATACTAATTATTTACAAAGAGTTCTTTGACCATTATACTAAAACATTAGTTGCTTGTAGAGATGCTGGGACACATGAATTAAGATAATTGAAAAAACATTATATGCCATTCATGATTTTCCAACAGTGTTAAGTAATAGCTCCCTAAACCCACATTGTTTCTAAAAAAATATTAGTTGGTATTTTGCACTGGGCCCCAGGAATAGATAAATACCACTTTGTCCCATATGCGACATATGAGAAAAGCTACTTTAATGTTGAAAATTGCCTCCAATAAGAAGCTGATGGAGTTTGTTCATCCTTTATGCCTGAGTTTTGCCACCTGTCAGTCATCTAGGTCTAAGAGATATTTGCAATTTATTGCAACTATGAGGCCAAATTAAAAAAAAAGAGAAAACTAAGACTGGACTTTGACAATTTTTTAACCAAAAGAGTGGGAAGAAAATGTGTATATGCATGTTTGCTTGTAGTGTGTAGATATGAGTGTGTGTGTGTGTGTGTGTGTGTGTGTGTGTGCATGCATGTAACATTAAAGATAAGGAAAGCAAAGAATAATATTATACATAGTTGACTTGGCCTAATCAACCATTGTCAGTGTATCTGAATCCATAAGATTAGCAATTTTTTCACTTCAGAAGGTGCAAAATAATGTTTAAGGAATATGGTAGCTTTTACTTATACTTTCAGTTTTCTAAGACTGTGCCCCTATTATTCACTGTCTAATCTGTACATGCAGTTTATTAAGCCTGTGCTAATCGCTATTTATTAATTGAATACTTAGTGAGATTAAAGTAAAAATATCTAGTAGAAGTTTCTTTAATTATTTACATACACAAAAATTGGTCTAGGATGTAGAACGGAAAGAATGAGTGTTACAGAGTTAAAAGGAATAACCAGCAAATCTTGGAATTGCAACAGAGAATTATAAGAGGAAATTAATCAATTAACAGGACTCCAGTTGGGTGAAATAGGACCATGATCAAAATTCTGGAAGTTAAATTGCACAGTTTCATAAGGAGGGTTGCAGATTATGAGTGCAATTCTGAAACTATTATTGATGGTACAACCCCTTAGACATTTGGTATTTCATATTTGGGCCAAAGCCTCAAATATTGATCAAACTTCAGGTAAGTATTTGTACCGAATTTATAAACATTCTTGAGGAGATAGTAATAATTAGTAACCTTCATACACACACATACACACACACAGGCACAAACACACACGTATATGTATTTTTTTGGACTTTATCAGTATTATGCTATGAAAGTGGCTTATGTCTGGAAGAGCAAAATCATATTTTGAAGTCAATGCTTAACTTAGTAATCTTGGTAAAATTATATAATATTTTAAGTGTCAGTTTACATCTTACATATGGGTATCCCATTAGCTACTTCATAGATTTTTTGTGCAGATTGAATGAAATATGATTATGCGAAATATTTAGCATCATGAATAGTAAACATTCAATATACATGGTGCTGTTGATGTGGAAAATTGCAAAAGGCAAAGGCTAGAATACCTTTGAATGTGTGTCCAATACTGTATGAGACACTTTTAATTTTTTCTCACATAACATTTGTAATAATTCTATAACCAAAGTTCCTGAGTTTCAGTTTTTTTAGGAAAAAAAATTGAGTTTAAATTACTTGCTCAGAGTCACACAAGTAGTAGAAGGGAAAGCTGGGGCTCCAAATGCGCATGTTTAGCACAAAACACTATGCTCCTTTTTACTCTCCAAGAACTGCTACTTAGCTAATGGTCAGACTGGGAAATGGAAGTAAATATTTAAATATATAACCATACCTTACTTAAATTATAAACTTCGTAGAGTTTTGTTGACTAGATAAAGGATAAAATATGAGTTCCTTGTCTTAGAGTCATATGTTAAACTTCTATTTAGATTATTCCTTCTATCAAAACTAGGAAAGTACATGTTTCCTCCCTGAATGAAGAATAAACAAGTTCATTATATATATATACACACATACATACATATATATATATATATATATACACACATATATATATATCTCCAGTGAGACATTTCAGGCCATCACCTTGATTTTTGGGAAGTGAAGTCAAGTTCCCTTAATTCCTCGGGATAGTATTCAGCCACTTGTAGTTAACCAAATTAGAATATTGGAGAGTTGTCATGGCACTCAACTACATTCAAATCTTGTAGCGGAGCCAGCAGGGCAAACCAACTGTAAATCTGTAGCATAGCTATAGCTATTTGGTGTATGCTTTAGGAGTACTTTTGTCTTTAAGCAAAAAAACGAGTATTTTAGAGCTCCAAATGTAATCAATTGTCAAAAAGAGGAGTTTGATATATCAAATGCAAGTCTGTTTGTCAATATTCAAAGCCAAACATTTTTCCCCTCTCGACTTGCTTATAAATATTCAGTGCCACAGAAACACAAGTAAATAATTGGTCATCTCCAATGCATTCTGTATAATTTATAACAGATCAAAAGATTATTACATGGTACAGTCAAAGTCAAACTATATTTCATTTATTGCAAGTGAAAATCGTAACATGGCCCAAGTCAGCAATGTATTAATGGACTAGATCTCCTTCTATGTGTGTGTGTGTATATATAATTTTAAAAAATAAGGATTTGGATTTGGGGATTAAGGATTTCATATTGAGTTCTCTGCTATTGGAATTGACCTGGAAAGATTAGAAGATTATTGTTCATTTACATTGACAAAAATCTTCATGAAAATGACAATATTAAAATGACTTGGGATCATCTCATCCAAAAATATTCCAGGGTCAATTTTAATGAAAAATGCAATTCATAAAATATATGATACTTCATCTTTAATCTTATCTCTTTTATCATTGTTAAGGACCACTTCTCAACAAGTGATTTGGTTCTGGCCTTTTGCTAGGTTTTAAGTGTTCATCTCTATTATACAGCCAGTCAAGCAAGTAATAGCTTAAAATGGGTTATGTTCTACTCAAGAAAAAAAGAGATACATTTTTGTTGTATACAACACTTTTCTTTTAAAGAATGTATTTTATCAGTAAAATAAAGCTTGCTTTATCAAAGAAACCTCTTTTAATTTATTCAGATATGGTCTTTATCAAGCTAAACTCCAGCAAATGGTGTTTGAAATAACAATTTATGCTTTTTTTAAAGCAGTCAAGCACTTGCTATTTTTCTTACTTGGTCAGACTCTATAATCACCATGTTGAAAACATCCTAATTAAGGGAAGTTGGAAACAGACCCACATGCTTTCAAGAGAAAGTTGAGTTGCACGTTAAAATGAAATACCCTCAATGCTGATGTTATTTTTTCCTTCCTATAGGGAACCACAGTCAGATATCACGAGTACCTGTTGCTATTAAAGTGCTGGATGTCAATGACAACGCCCCTGAATTCGCATCCGAATATGAGGCATTTTTATGTGAAAATGGAAAACCCGGCCAAGTAAATATCTCCATGTTGTTAATGCTGAATATGTTTGTATACAACTGTCTCATATTTGATTAACCTGCATTATATTGTGCATTTGCATCATTTATGATCTGCAAAGTCTCAGGCAAGAAACACATCCAAATGGGAACAGAGAGGGAATTTTTTTTCTCCATCAGATGTTGTTTCTCTTCCTACTTATGACCAAATTGGCTCCTAAAGTGGAACAACCTGCTGTGCCACGAACCCAGAGCCAAGTCACTGTCTTAAAATATCTTGGGATATGGATGATAGCAGGGGATGTCTTAGAGTGATGGGGACTGAATTTTTACTTTCAAATGACAAGAAGCAAGGTAAAACCTCATGGAGAGGAGACATTTGTTTCATAGCAAACATATGAATAACAAATAACAGTGAAACCCAAGAAGACCAGTGGTTTATAGAAAGTTGTAGGAAGTGAATATTGAAATCTGTAAATATGTATATACATTTAGATCAGCATAAGATGAACAACACGCGTTTGAGATGTGTGTATTAGTAGAACATTTTTTGTGCCTCATATAGCATAGATGAAAACTGAAAAAAGAAACATAAAGCGAGAGAGAGGGAGAAGAAAAGGGAGAGGGAGAGGGAACGGGAATGGGAGTGGGAGGGAGGGAGGGAGAGAGAAAAAGAGGGAGGAAGAAAGCAAGGAAAAGAGTTAAACAAAATGAACAGAAACAAATATCTGCTATACTCTGAATGTCAAAATGGAAATAGCCTATGTAAAGTTTTGCAAAACCATAAATGTAACAGATTTATTTGAACAAGGTACCAAAGTACTGTATGTTTAAGAAATTTATCATTTTTCAACTTCCTAATTTATTTCTGGATGGTGACATTTTAATTTAAATAAACAGCAGCTGACAGTATGACACTGGAGTTGTTAATCCAACTATTCTTGTGCCTCATGTGGGTGTTAGGAATTATACTTAACTATTTGCTAAGCAGCTTACCTGACAAGAGTCAGATTTTTTTCCCCTAAAGAAAGGACTAGCACTGTAGCCATATGCTTTTATTATAAATGATCAATTTGTTACCCTCCTATAAAACATTGGGCATTTCCCCATAGACTGCTCCCACGTATCTGGAGGATTAGTATTGTTTCCATCTACCAGAATAAGACACCGCCCGCCCCCACACATACACGTTAAAGCTAAAATTCTAATAATAAAACTGATTAACTTTTAAACATCAAGACAAGATCTCATCAAAGCATTCAGCTTTAGTAGACATATATGTTTATTTTTATAACATTCTAACATTAGCTTAAATGTTTCCTAATTTTATTATGTGGAATTACGCCCGTCAATCACACGTTTTGAGCATCTTCATTTGTGGTCCTTTGAGAAGGGAATGCGTATGTGTTTTTTTAATACACATATATCAATAAATACCATCTACCTAAATTGGTAGATTGAGTTGTCAGAGAGAGTTTGATCAAAATATGTCAGGTTGTTTCAAGGATATGATTGTTTGTGGACCAGATCATTGCTGAGATAATGTAGCCAAATCACAGACTGATAAGCTAGACTTTTTCAATCACATAGAGTCTGTAAAATACTTCAGAATTTAAATAAAACCCCATAGATCATGCAAACCTTATCACATAAGTTCAAAGAGTCAATGACATTGATATTTCAAAAACTCAACATTGGCTTCACTTGTGTTATTGACAAGCATGCTTCTTGGATCTTTGGGAATTTGTAGGTTTGCCCTGTGGATTTTGACTGTTTTCAAAGTTTTAATGATTTCTCAGTCGTTCTTCTTAACTTCAGAAAAAAATGCATTGTTTTCTCATCTTTCCTATGCAAAACCAAAATAAAAAATTGATTCTTTGTTTTATGATTTTTGCAAATCACAATGAATGACTCTTTGTCTGAAGAACCACTTATGTTTTGTGTATGTGTGCTACACCATCTTATCCTCTAATGATCTGTTTAGGCATATTTATTAGAGTTCATTAGTTAAATGAAAGGATCAGATCTTTGATGCCTTAGCAACATTTTTGGACATATGGCTGACTGATGTACATGCCATTGTTGAAACAACTTTCTTGAACTCTTTGAATCCTTTGTGCTAGTTAGAATTCAGGTTTTATTCCTTACATCACTTCTAAGTTACGTCTAATGCTCAATGATCTAATTTTTATATTTAACATTTACCAAAATTTGTATTTGTTATTCACACAAGTGTTTACTTATAGAAGTTCAACAAAGATATACTTTCAATCATCTCTCATAATACCACACAAATGACTGACTCACTATGGAACTAAAATATTCCTTAGCAGATGATCACATGCTCATGAAAAATAAACGTCAAAAACCGAATGAGCCATTAAATTCATAGTTTTCTCAATATTCTTAAACAATTTATGTCTGCTTTACAACAGCCTCAGAAAAACTGCAGGTGACATTCAAATGTCTTGTTTGGCTGGAAGGTGTGGATTTAAGGCTAAACTCAGGGGATCAGTTTCTTGGGAGATGGTGTAGCTGGAAATTATTAGCAATAATCAAGGAAGGATAAGCCATTAACAAAAATCCAGGCTGTATAAACTGTCTGGACTGAGAGGGCCTATGTAAACAGGTTTTCGAAAGGGCTCACAAAATGAAAATGAGTATCAACATGAGCATAGAGAATTCTGTTGTGCTTTATATTTTTTCCACTGAATTGAACTCATCTAAATACAGTCAGAATGAAAAAGAAGAAGAAAAAGAGGGAGGTCGCTTTCTCCTGTCTAGGCAGTTATCTCCAGTTCATGATACATCTGAGCTAAAATAGGTCTAGATTCACTTTGAAAGTAGAATTGGAAATCATATGTGCTCCTTCCACCTTCTCATGATTCTGAAGTTAAAGGTGACCTTCCCTTGAATATGTTCTCTCAAAAGTGCAACTACAACCTCAATAGGGAGTAATGGTTCACAGTCCATTACACAAAATCCACCTGAATCACGTTTGATTAGAATCCTTTTAAATAATCCCTCTGTTGCATAATTAAATGTTAATATATGTTATCATTGCTAATTATCTATACTTTTTGAAAAATCGGATAGTTTCAGGTAATTTGTTTTAAGTCAAAAGACTTAAGATGGTATACATCTTTCGACTCTAATTCAGTGGTGACATGATATAGTCATTTGCAGATTACTTGGCTCCCAGTTTAACAGGAAGGTTAAATAGGATATTCTACACTTACTTCTCTCTAATGTCCATGGCAAAAATGGGAATGTGTGTTGAGATTCCAAAATCAGAAAGCCAAATATATGTCTGACAGTTTGTGTGTCTGACAGGGTGATGGGTTTCTGTCAGTCAGTAAATACTCACTGAACACGAACTATGTTCCAGGAGTGGGCTAGGTACTGAAAATATAGCAGTATACCACACCCCCAAAATCAGCCTTTTTTTTTTTTACCTTCATGGAATTTTCTCTCTGGCAAACATTTAATTAAAATTATAAATGATAGAATTGCAGAAAATGTTTCAAATCTTCTGGACAGGTGGGATGCTGAAGGGAGAAGGGGAAATGGAGCTATCTCAATGAAAAGACCTCTTAATATAGGACAAGTTTCACCAGAGACAGAAAACATCTATCAAGTACTGAAAAGGAGACAGCTGGGGATAAACCAGAGTCTTTCTGAAGAGAATGGTAATCTGGCTGGACGAGTGGAGGAACAGGTAACAAATGTGAAGAAATCAGTATCTTCCTTCAATATACTTGACAACCCCACACTCAGAACCAAACGCGAAGGAAAAATATAGAACTTCAGTGACCAATGTTGGCCAGAGGACCTTCTATAACTGTGTTCTAACTCTTACCTCCTTACTAGGATCTTCTTTGGATTTTATTTCAGATATTAACCTCTTGGTTACCATATACAGAATTAGAGTGACTTTCTGTGGATGATCTATCAGTGCAGGGACTGAATTGAATATTTTCTTCTGAGGCATGAGGCAAGGCGTTTTGTTCAGTCTCAGAAAATATTCATTGTTTGAGAGGTGACGGGCAGTTTCAGTTATTCTTCAGGAAAGAATTTGTGTAACTATAAATAAATCTAGTGGAGTATATTTGAGCTTCGTCACTATCATACAAGTTACTGTTTGTTGTCAAGTAATTATATCTGAGTTAAAAAAGAGAAACAAACAAAAATATTTTGGTTTCTCTTCTTTAATCTCATCTTTCATTCTCACCAACATTGCAGAAATATAAAGTTTGTTTATTATGGGGGTATCAAAGTTCAAATAAAAAGGTAGTCACTCATACTTCTGGATGATATATATCTAGCCAATGCTTAACACGTAACAGATATTCACAAAATCTTAGAATCATGGTTCTAAATAATTTCGTTCAGCAATGACAGATACTTCAAAAAGTAATTTCTTAGATATTATCATGGAAACACTTGTTCCACTTATAAACACATAGTATGCATGCTAACCTCTTCAGATGAAAAATTCCTCATTTATTTATTGGACAATATTTATTACCCATCTACAAGATGCTCATTGTTGTAATACAATCTGAAGAAACAATGTGAAAGGGTCAAAAATTATTTTTTCTTAGGAATTTAGTGAAGAAGAGATTCTGTGAAAAGAATAGAATGAATAAATAAAATAATTTAAAATTTTAAAAACTGGCTTGAAATAAATATTCAAGCAACTAGACAGAGTGGAACAATGAAAACTCAGGGATCTACTTTATGTAGTATTGTCAAATAAAGTTACTTTTGAAATGAGTGTTGTTTATGGTGAAATAGGAAAAAAAGAGAAAGAGCTAGGCATGAAGGCAGTCTTCTAGCCAACCGAATAGGCATGTGCAAATATCCTGAAGGGTCATTGACCCTTCAGTGGAAGGGTCATTGAGTGGAAGATGCTTGTGACTAGCATGTAATAAGCAAAAATGAGATTGAACATAAAGAGTTTTATGCTTGAATAAAATACACACATGCACACACATGATTAAGCAGGAAGCACAG